CAACCCCAACCCCAACCCCAACCCCAACCCCAACCCCAACCCCAACCCCAACCCCAACCCCAACCCCAACCCCAACCCCAACCCCAACCCCAACCCCAACCCCAACCCCAACCCCAACCCCAACCCCAACCCCAACCCCAACCCCAACCCCAACCCCAACCCCAACCCCAACCCCAACCCCAACCCCAACCCCAACCCCAACCCCAACCCCAACCCCAACCCCAACCCCAACCCCAACCCCAACCCCAACCCCAACCCCAACCCCAACCCCAACCCCAACCCCAACCCCAACCCCAACCCCAACCCCAACCCCAACCCCAACCCCAACCCCAACCCCAACCCCAACCCCAACCCCAACCCCAACCCCAACCCCAACCCCAACCCCAACCCCAACCCCAACCCCAACCCCAACCCCAACCCCAACCCCAACCCCAACCCCAACCCCAACCCCAACCCCAACCCCAACCCCAACCCCAACCCCAACCCCAACCCCAACCCCAACCCCAACCCCTATTATTGATTTTTAAATGAAGTAGAAAGTAATTTAAAAATAAAAATTTTTAGATATTAGATAGATACATAAGACATACATACATTTTTTCTATTTTAAAGAATTATTTTAAAAATTTATTAGATTTACATTTTTGCGAAATTCAAGTATAATATAAATTTATCATAAAAATTGATAAAGAGATATATGCTATTAGATTTAAATAAACGCAATCAGAAAAAACTTTGGAATACTTTTTTTAGAGCACTTTAACTTTTTCAGTCTATAATGATTAGAAATTAAAAAAAATTAATTATATTTCTAGCAATTTCTAAATAATTAAATTTTTTCTATTTCAATATGGTTTTTTAAATCAGATTTAATCAAAATTTTACAATCGAAAATCTCTCTTTTACAAATTCACTTAATTGAAATAAATCAGAAAGTGATTTAATTAATAATCAAAATTTAATACAAAAAATTGATTAAATAAAGAAACACTCAATACCTAAAAACATTTAAAGAGTTATAATTAAAAATATGAGTTTAGAAAATTAACAAGCTCAAAAGGACTAATAAAATTAAGATTCAAATGAAGAAAAAAAACTTCTCAGTTCACTTAATGATGTTTAAATTGTCAACCAATAATAAGAATAAGATAGTTCTAAATTGGATCAATCTATTGATGTAGGACAAAGCGTTGATTAAGGAGTTAGGAATGAAAACGGTTACTAGGAAGTTATCGGATCTGAAACAAGTCTCTATGACCCTCAAAACAAATTAAATATAAACTAAGAAGAAAAAAAGGCTGAAAGAACTTGCTTTTTTTCAAGATTTAAAAATTTTGTCAAAAAAATATTTTGCAGGTCTAACTGCAAGAGGATTGAAGACAAGTTTAGCTAAAATTAACTTATATTTAGTATCTTTTTAAGAGGAGGAGCTGCATACTATATGATCAAAAAAAGACAAGTTTTAATGAAGAGATTAGAAAAGTCTCTTGCTGACGAAAAAACTTTAATAAATATTAGTTCAAATTTAAGTAAAACACCAAAACTTTATTTTGATAACTCAAGTGTAGGCTAAAGTACACTTATGCAAGGAACATTTACTTCTAGACACATCAAGACTAAAATACCTATAAATATTGGCTAACAAGGTTATGATTATTCTAAAATTACAGACTCTTCATCAGCTCCATCAATAAGAAAAGTTATTTTATAAACTGATAAATTTGAAAATTAGGCTGTCCCAATACCTTTGTAATCAAAAGAAAACTTGATCACTTCAGCATTTGCAGGATTGACCTACTATTTATCATCTAATATCTTTTAGGTCAAGTTTAAATTAGACGATTTGAACTATTTAAATAACACTTTTTACTTTTTTGGAAAAAAGAACTCAAATAACATTATGGATGTAGAAAAGGTTTTCTTAAAAATAGATTGGTTAAAGATAAAATCAGATTAAAGAGCATTAAAATTATGTGCTTTGCTTGCTTCATCAATAGCAGTATTCTTCACTTACAAAGCAATAGTATCAACAGTTGTTTTAGCCAAAAAAAAGAAATCCTTTTTCTCAAAATTATTATAAGAAATAAAAGAATATTTTTAACTTTGAATTAAACCATTAATTGTTGTTTATGTGTAATACCATATTTTTGTAAGCCTAAATTCTTTTTTTACAAATATAGATTTTTCTTGATTTTCATTAACTATTTACAAACTTTATTTATGAATATTTAAATATTTGATTTTTATCAGTAAATTCTTTTAAAAAATAATATTTTAAAAAACTAATTCTTATGGTAAATATACAAAAAGCTTTTATCAGTAAATTTGTCTTTAAAAATTTTTATTCTTAACCTCAAATATTCTTTTTTAGCTTTTATAAAATTATTTTGAAGTGTAGATTAAAAAATGGGCGATTTTTTCAAAAATTATTTATTAAATACTCACAAAATAAAATTTTTAAAAGCCAATATATATATATATAATATAAAATGAAAAATAATAAAAAAACCTTAAATATGTTATATATTAGACTTGTCAAAAATAATAAATAATCTTGTTATTTTAAATTACTTCATAAATAAATTATTAATCATAAGATTTATGGTTCAAAAAACCATTTTGAATTAAATTTTAAAACAATTTTAAACAGATCAATTTTTTTATGAGAAAAATTATGTATTTATGATTTAATTTTTGTTTAAAAAATTTGACAGAGATTACATTAAAAAAAAGTAACTATCTAGTTTAATCTTTTGATATCTATTTAAGAGCTTTTAATTATGAATTATATGAATTAAATAACTATAGATTTTTATTAATACATTTCAATTAATTAGACTTTCTTTCTAGAAAATTTAAATAAATTCCAAAATAATACTATAGCATAAATTTTTTTTCAAAATAAACCTCTATCTATAAGAGATTTAACTAAATGAAAAAAAAAGAAAGAAATATTTTTTAAATTTGACGAAGATTAGACTTTTCTTTTTTTTTTCTAGAAACTTTAATACATTTTGAATTTAAAAAGATAAATTCTAATTTAGAAATTTCTATAAATTTTTCTATATCAATTATTACATATTTAAATATTATATCAGGTGGCTTTTCTAATTTTGTAATTCAATTTTCTGTAATCACTCAAATACAAATAAATTTACTGTAAATTCAATATTAGATATAATTTTCTATGCTGCAATGATGATTTAAATATTACATCGTTATTCCTTTAAATTTTAAAGAAATGTTGATTGCTATCTATCAATTTTAAAAACATTTATTTAAAATTTATACATTCTTCTTATTTTAAGGATGATCAGAAATATTCAGAAAATGCGCTAAATTTTCGATTTGTTACACTCTCTTATCTATTTTATTGCATAGTTTTAATAAAAAAATTTATAAATAACTTTATAAATTAATTAATTAATAAAAATCAAAGTAAAAGTAAAATTTAAATTAAAATGAGCTAATAAAATAATCAAAACAATAAGACAAATCTTGACCAATATAAGGAAGATTTATAAATCTTTCAAGACGCTTAATCTAATTTGAAGGTTCAGTAAGAAGGCTTTACTCAAACTGAAAATTGGTTTGACTAAATTTGTGGAGTTTAAAAAATTTTATCACTTGAGCATGCATAAGCTTGCTTAAAATTTAGAGATTTTTTGAAGGAATAAGAATTAAAACAAAGTGATATTCATATCTAGCAATAAAATCAATAGATTTTGTTTAAAAAATCCCAAAAATCAGAAAGTGATGTTTTAATCCCTTTCAAATAAAAAATCGAGTAAGAATTCAAAGAATATTCTTAAACAAATAATAATCAAAATAGAGGTATAGGACATTATCTATTAATTGGTGTCGGAGCTTTAATTGCTTTTAAAATCACAAAAAGAATTATTTTTGGTAAAGCATGTAAATACCAACATTACTATTATAATCAAAAATATTTTTACCCTAATTATCATAATTTTAAGGATCATATGAACTAAACAAATTAAAGATGCTAATGGTGGTATTCCCGTTTTTATTAGCATAAATGATTGCATATTTATTATTTGATGTATTTATTTTTTAAGTATTTGTAGTGTATGATTAAATAAAATGAAAACTCTTTTAAAGATTATTTCCAAAACTAATGTGAAAATTAAAAACTTATCTGTATAAAAATTCAATAATTTATATTTATTTATTTCATGGATGCTACTTTGTTCAGAAAAATTAAAATCACTGAATTTTATAATTCTTAAATTAGTTGTTTTAAAAGTTGAAAATTATTTTTTAATTATTTATTTTATTATTAAATAGAATATTTTCTAATGCCTAAGTAAAGTTAACTGTTATTTTTTTAATTAAAATTGGAATCAAGAATATTTATTGCAATTCCTCATGGTAAATGGTTAAGATAACAAAGATAAATGGTGAATATTTAAGCTTTTTAAATTTTTAATTTTGTCTATTTTTACTTTTTAATGTGAGAAATGAAAACTAGAGGAGTTACAGTAAGTGTAATAAAAAAATAAAAAATTATTTATATTTTATTAATAATAGAAGAATAGACATTTTTTTAGTATTAATTCAAATTTGTGGTCAATATTAATACCAAATTTTCATTTTATGAGTAAGTTTATTAAATTTTTTATTTCTATTGTCTTATTCGGAGGGGAATATTTAAATTAAGGTATTTTAGTTTGTAACAGAATTATCTACAAGCATTTTTTTACTTTTTATTTTATTCATTCTAAATTTCAATATAGTATTAAGTTAAAATATTTTTATTTTTATTAATTTATTAGCGATTTAAAAATTTAAATACTATGTTACTACAAGAATTAAATAAGCTTTAGAAGTAAAAATATAAATATAATTCTAAATTTGTTAAAGCTGTATAGAACTTTCTCAAAAATAAAAGATTAAAATAGAAAAATTTAATTATTGGATTTAAACAGAATTTTACATACAAAAAATTCATAATTACAATTAAAAAGTAATTTAAAAATGTACTTTGGCTTCTTCTTCTAAGTAAATAAATATTAAATAAAAAATAATACAAAAACTAAAAAGAATTAAAAAATGTCTACCTAATCTTCTAAACAAAACTTAAATAATGATGCATAATTACCATTTGAATTGAAGTAATTCTTTGAGATTTAATAATAACTTTAAATTTTCTAAGATCCTTCTAAACTGAATATCTAAACTAGAGTTAGTGAACATAATAAAATGGAAAACCAACTTAATCAACAAAAATATTAATCAAACTATTTAAGAAATGACTAATAAAATAGTAATTAAAATTAAAAATAGTAAAACAACATCTATTAAGATGGATAAAAGTAATAAATAAGCCAATAATTATCAAATGAAAAATAATAATAAGAAGTAGAAGCTGTTGCCAATTAAACGAGGTTATAATATAGTAGCCAAGAATAAATTTAAAACGAAACAGTTTAATATTAAAACAGGTACAGGGAATTGAGAGAAAGATTAAGAGAAAAAAAGAGAGAATTACAAGAACTACATGAGAAATACCATCAAAGAAGGCATATTTAATAACAAAACAATGATTTGAATGAATCTAATTCTTCCTTCAAAGAAGTAAAAAGTTTATCTTAAAACTAAAATAGTTTTTAAGAAAATATTTAATTTGATGAAAGATGTAAGTAATTTCATCATAGATATCACCAAAGATTAAATAACTACATCACTAATAAATAAGACAATTAAATAAATACTCAGTGTTAGAAAGATTCTCAACATTCTCATCTTAACTGTGAAAACTAAAGTAATCATCATCTTCATCACCACAATAATCACCATAAAAGGTTTTGTCCATTTTCATCAAGTAATACAGAAAAATTAAACAAATAAGAATAAATTGGTTAAGAGAATTAGTAAAAGAATTAATTTAACTATTCTTAATCAATGAATCTATAATAAAATTAAGAGAAAATGACTTAAAATAAATTTTGTCATCATTTTTTTAATAAGCAAATTATGAACGATGCAAATTAAAATAACTATAACGAAAAAAATACTGATAGTTAATTTGACAAACAACATCATTGCTTTTTTGAACGTAGGTGGTAGCAAAAAGATTAAAATTGCAGAAATGAATTTCATCCCATTCCTAAGTTATTATTTGCTGCTGGGATATTTTATCTAGGAATTAAATTTAGTAGAAGAGCCTTTTTTTGCATGAGATAATACCGTAATAGTGTTTTTGATAAAAAGTGATTTTTTAAAAAATAAAATTTAAATAAATAAATTATAAATGGTATTCTTTCATATTATAAAGTACATTTTTGTTTGTAAAACAATTAATAAAACTTTTATATTTTAATAAAAATAATTTAATAAATTTAATACATGCAAATAAGTAATTGATAAATTAGGTTATACAAATATTTATAATCAGAAATACAAAATGAAAAAATAATATCTGTTTGATTTTGAATTGTTTCTGATTGGATTATTGGTTTTTAAATTGACTGCAAAATAGTTAATAGAAATTAAGAATTTAATTTCTCAACTTAAGCTTTCTAAAAGATAAAAAAAAGTATAATTAAATGATTGGAGTGTAAAATCACCTAGGAGAAGAGAGAAAATTGCTTGGTTCCTCTCTTGGCTTGTAAGTAGAAAATGCAAATGGAGATAGAAGTGAAAAGTGTGATGAATCTATTAACTTAGAAAGCTGCTTTTAGTTTGAGGAAGATTTTGATGACGAAAGTTCTAGATTAAAAAATAATAATTTAAAAAGCTCATCAGAAACTCAAAAAGAAGATGAAAATAAATAAACAAAATTTAATATATTCTTATAAAAAGTTAAAAGCCTACTAACATTCAACAGAAAGTTTGTTAATTTTAAACAAATTTACCAATAACTTTTTTTTGATGGAGTTTTGGCAATTTATTTTTTAAGAATGCGTAAAAGATGTCAAAAATATGTGGAAATATCTTTTAAAGATGAACAATGTATGAGAGAAATTTCTAATGAGCTTAAAAAGGACTCGTTTTACTACTATAACTGTGCTAATCCAGGTAATAAATGTATAGTTTGGGGAAAACTAAATTAATGGGAGGATTTTTAAAGTCATGTCTAAAATGGTTCTCCTAAAAAATCTAAGCCTTATCCTCCCTATTATACTTTAAGTTCTTTCAATAAGAATGAAGAGATAAAAATTGAAACAAATTAATGTTCTTCTGTTTTTTGCGAGCAATCATCATTAAAGACTTTTACCAAAAGAGGAATACTCTATCGCTTGATAACCTCATTATATGCATTGAATCTTTTTAAAATAAATATTCAGCCTGAAAATATATCAGTTAAATTTGGATTTGTGTATGTTTTTGGAGAAAAAGTTGTTAATTCAGCAGGAGATTTATATATGAAACCTATTAGAATATTTTAATCAATAAATTATTAAAATTATAGAAGAGACCAGACAGTATTTAGTGCTTTTGGAGTCATAGTAGGAGGATTAAGTTTTTACTTCTTGATAAAATTCTTTAAGAATGCTTTCATGTGTTCAAAAAAGAAAAGGTTATTAGAAAGAATAAAAGAATTCTTTGTGAAGCCCAAAGAAGTGAATAATTAAAATAAGAACAAATAAGTGAAATACTAAAAAATTTGAGTTTCTCTACCACTATTATAAAGTTAATTAATATGATTAATTAATTATATTTAAATATTTATAATTACTTTCTAAAACACTTGCATCTAATAATAAAAATTAATATCAAATTTATTTACTACCTATGTTATTTCAAAAAGTTAATATATTAATAGTTCTTTATCAGTTTAATTAAATACAAAACTTAAAAAATAAATAATTAACCAAAATAAATTGTATTTGTTTTTTTATGTATTTATTCAAAGATAGCCTTAAAATTATTGCTCATTCCAATTATTGGAAGAGTATATTTCCATCAGCCCTCCTCTTTTAAGTATCACAATATTTTAACTATTTTTTATTCAAAAAACTATCATGAAGTGTACAATTTTTATTTTTGAAGAATTAATAAAATTTAACAATCTTGCTAAAAATAAATTTTTTTTACTTATTTATTTGGAATGATTATGAGGCTTATTTGAGAGTGTATATTCTGTGTTTAGCAGAATAGTTGTTTAATAGAGCAACATCAAGAATTTACTCATTTTTTGAGTATACTTCGTTTATTAATTTTATTTCAAAATAATCTCTACCAGTCCTTTCTTCTTATATTAATTAGCATTGATGGATGTCCGATTTATTAACTTAAATAAGAATCTATTTATTTTCTTCATTAAAGCAAATTAACTTATCAACTTATTAATCTATTTTCTTCATTTAAAAAATTATTTAAGTAAAAATATTATTAAATAATTTGATATTGTTACTGTGCTAGCTAAAGATTAAATTATTGTAGGAATTGAAGTATCTAGCTATAACCAATTCAACTAATTATCATCAGTCAAAGCCACTAACTGTGCTTTCACCACAAAATTAGAAGATGATAACAAACATTAATATTTAATAACAATCATTTCTTTGAATTGCATGTTATCTTTGAAGTCCTTCATAAATTCAAGCATATCTATTTCTTATGGTGGAATTTCATTTTTAAACACATGATAAAGAGAATTCTCCCATTCAAAACTATAAATAAAAGTAAGTGCCATTTCTTTGCTCTCAATTTGAGATAGGTGAGCAAGTACTATTTTATCTTAAACTAGAATAATAAAAAGAGAAGTTTCTTTTAAAGATTGAATTTAAAGGATTATCTCATCTCTAATATTAAGGTGATTAGCATAAGATTCTTTTGGATTACTCTTTGATATATACTTAATTACCTTTTGAAACTACTTCTGCTAATCTTTTTAAAAGTTACTCACCCACTGCTCTTAGTTACAAATAAATTTCTGATCAAATTCAAGGAATTTTTAATAATTTATAGTCATAATATTTGTTTCTTTATAAGATGATATCGCCTCTGTGCTTTAATTTAAATTGTATTTTTCGCAACCATAAAAGCAACCTACAATACTATATAATTAAGTTAAATTTAAATTAACTCTTTAAATATGAATAGTAATTTACCCACAATAAACAGAGTAAAATAATCCTTATATTTTAGTAAATCCATTAATTTAAAACACAGATACTATTACAAAGTTTTTGTTAATCAAATTAATCTTTATAACAAAAAAATTATTTAAATATTTCTCTTATTTTTTATAAAATAAAAATTATTTTACAAAGTAAAGACCTTCTTCTGATTGAGAAAGTATAATTATTGAAAGAGGGGAATAGACATCCTCAATAAATTAAAACTCTAAAGGCTTTTAGTTAAACCTCATGGTCTTAGATGTGAAATTTGTTTTACTGAGGTTGGAAAGAATAATTTTCATTGGCTATATCTTAATTGAATTGTCTTTATTAGAAAATAAAACATTTAGAAGAGTAGAAGAATTTATCATAAAGGTGTTAACAATAACTAAGCTAAAAGAATCACTAATATCTTCTATTTCTAATTTTCTGTATTCAAATTTGATATTTTCTAACAAATTAGAACTATCTATTATTTAATTGATATTAATACTTATCAAGTAAATTATGTAATTATTTTAATAAACCCAACATATCTTGTCTCCTCCTTTCCATACATTCTAAAAATTTATTTTACTCCTTTCACTAGTATTACTTATAAATCCTAACATTTTATCTATGTCCAAGTAATTAATTTCGCTTCTAACTTTTTCAGGATTCATTTTATTCTGCAAAAGATCATCATTTGTTAAAAAATACAATTTTTGGGTTTTGTTATAAAAAGAAATTTCTTTTAAAGTATAATTTGTGTTGTTAAGTTTCAACGAATATTCCTGTATTTTTATGATAGTATCCAGGCTATCTAAGCTAAACTTTTATTTTTTTTATTAAATTTATATAAATTTTAATAGATTATTTTGTAAAATTTAATTTTTATTTATCTCATCAGTTAAAATAATATTTTACCTCTTAAATTTTTTTGAGATATGGTTTTTTTTCTTTGTTCAGCTAATAAATTTCTATCTTATTCTGACTAAATTGCTTAAGGCCTATAATTTAATAGCTATTTAAATTGAAAATTTATTCAATTTCTTCATCATTTTCTAGTCTATGGATAAGATGATTAGTTATAAATTTTTTAATGTCTTTTTCTCCTGATAAAATCATCTCAAAATTAACAATCAGAATATGAATTTAATCTCCAACTTGCAAAAAAATCTTGAATAATTTAATAAGCTTACTAATAATTTAATAAAATATAATAATTTACTGAATCTTTGATTAAAAAGCCATTATCAAATAAAATATCTTCAGTAAATAAAACATTAAATTTCGCTTCTACAATTTATTCTTACAAATCATCTTTTATCTTTATCACTATTGAATTTTGCGAAATCTTTTTAAAAAAAAGAATCTTAATTAGAATTAAAATATAGTTGTTTTAATCCTACCTGAATAGTTACTAAAGCTAGTTTATTTGTTTTATATTCGATTTACTTGCAATCAAAATAAATTGTGTATGAAGATTTATCTATAAATTAATATTCAGGTACTTCAGGATTAGAGTCTATAAACACATTTTTATCATTTTTAATAGCCAGTTAGTAAAAGTAAGAGGTCTGCAAACATTCATCAGTGATCATGTAGATTTAATTGTTATAGTCTAAGCAAGTTGTACTAATTTAATTTGTTAAAAAAAGCCTATCTAGTTTATTACTAATATTAAAAACAGCACAATTTTTTATAGCTTAATCACTGTGATAATGCTTTTCTAGTTGGTAGGTGTATTCAGTAACTCTTTTGGAAGTATAAATGTAATTATATTATAATTCCTGAATAACTTTTACATATTCTACTGAAAAAAAATAATTGACATAAATCTATTTTAATGACACTATTTTCTTTTATATAAGCTCACAAACCGCTAAACTTTCATCTTGCTATCTTCCGAGAAAATAGTTATTACTATTAAGAAGCACTCCTTCCTTAAAATATTAATCGCTTAACTAAGTTCCAATCTTGCATAATTCGCTTTTTTTAATATTCCCATTTGTTTCAACTTTGAGTTCACTCAGATTTTCATGATCAAGTATATAAATACAATTTTCATTGATTTAATTTGCTCCTTTTATTTTCAACCCTTCTATTAAAACCTATTTTATAGTTTAGAATTTTACTTGAGTTTCTCAATTGTATTTTGAAGTTTTACTTCTATTTTATTTGACTTTTAATCATAGTACTTAATGCTTTCATCATAGACAAGCACTAACTTTGTTTAGGCCAAAATATAATAATTAAGAAGTCTTTCATTTATATTCTCAATAATGATATTTCCTTGTATTAGCTCATGAGTATTCTTGTCAATTAAAAACGAAATAATTGATCTTTGCTAGAAATCTATTCCTTACTCAACAAAAACTTATACGAACTCATTTTTTTTCTAAAGTACCTGGGTTATTCAATACAAAAAATTATTAAAATAATAAAACTTAAATCAAAGTGTTTACGTTTTCACTATCTCCAAGTATAGAATCAGATATTATTTTGTGGGAGTATATATTTCTTTTTTCATACGCAGTAGGATATTTTGAACTCATGTTTAGTATAGAAAATTTAGTATTCAATCCCTAATTTTATATTATTTATTGAATCCTTTATATTTTTCATGCTAAGAACTTACCTTTTACGTCAAGCAAATTGTTAAACCAAACACATTCTCTTAGTTAATTTCATTAGAAATCAAGCAGAAAAAGCTAGATTGATCAATGCTTGCACAAGAAAGATAATTGACACCTTTTATTTTAACCTAAAATTGTTAAACAACTTAAAAAATTTAGGATATATTACCTAATCTATTTTATTTGCATACTCCTAGTTAGAATTATACTCCATTATAGTAACAATTTCTTGAGATTTAATTTGCTCATTGCTATTCTTTTTTTGGAAACCAAGAATTTTCCAGCAAAGCTCTTCATCCAAAATCATTAAGAGTGTATTGTATAAAGCTAAATTCTAAAACATTATTTTCTCTTTACATTTACTAAAATTTAATATCTCAACACCATGTATAGGATTATTGAATCTTAGATAGAAGAGTTCTTCTACCTATCCTTTCTAATTGCCAATAAAATGAATCTCATTTCTCTTTTTTTTTGTACATTTTTATGAAATTTAGATTAAATTAGAATAATTTTTAATCTAATTACTAATTTATAGATATGCAAAGCGTTGCCACCTATATTTATTTGCTTCAAATTATCCATATTTAATTTATTATCAGAAATACAAGTAAATTAAAATTGTGAGCTTTTTTATAGTAATTCAAAAATTTAAAATCAAACAAATTATTTATTTTAACAAATATCTTTAAAAAATGTAAATTAAAAAAAATATGATTTTTTAATATTTAATATTAATGGAAGGAAAATAATTTTTGGAAAATAAATTTTTTTAAATTTATTAAAAATAAAAATTTAATAATAGATTTTCTGTCAGATATTAAAAAAGAATCAATAAGTAGAAAGTAGGAGCAAATGGGCTGAAATATTTATTTATTTATAAAAAATATGAGCATACATACATTTGATTGATATTTTTGAGCAATTAGTTGAAAATATATTCGTTGTGTGCTAATAACTAGCTATTAGTAATGGGAAAGTTGTTTTTTGATTTTAATTCGCAGTAGAGATACAAATAAATAGAAGAAGAACTAAAAATAATATTAACCAAAAAATTATTAGATTAAAAATCTAAGTAAAGAATATAATATAAACAAAATAAAGTTATTCCAATATAAGCAAGTAAAGAATTATTAATTAATTAATAGTAGAAATGGATCAATAAGTCGAGTAATTATTTTAAATTTAAAACGTTTTTAGAATGTATAGATCCCAAATTAGAATAAACATATTTTTATAGGCAATATCTTCAAAATTATGATTATATATAATTCTAAAACTTATTCAGATTTTCCTAAATTTCATTTCTTATTATAACTTTTGACTCATTATTAATAGGAAGAAATACATTGCCGCAGATATCTTGAGAAAAAGAAAGAAAGATATCGAAAGAATCTAACATAAAGTTAATACAAAGATATAGAGAATCAAGGAAAGAAATGCTAAGCCAACTGCCGAACATTTAACACCCGAATTCCTTGTCCAAAACTATAGAGCCTAATAAACTGCTTATTCTAATTTCAAGAAGAGAGTAAATATTTAATATTTTTACATTTACCAAGTTCTATGTTAATCTCTGCCTTTATTATCAAAAAGTCTTTGAAGATTGCTAGAGACACTACTGAAGTATAAAAAGATAAAATTGTTGTTGTTGTAAGAATTAGAGGGTAAATTCTTATTTTTTATTTTTAGCTCTTTAATTAACTAATAATCTTATGAAACAATATTTAGTGTTAAAGATATATCTGCAGAATAAACTAAAATCTTAAGATTGTTTAAGCTCCCTACCATTAACAGTGCTACTTTTATTAAGATGAATACTGCTAATTTAAGAAGACTTAAAAGAGTTGAAAATTATGTCACTTATGGGTAAATTTTTTTTTATTTTCTTGTAGAATACACATTCTAACAAACTAGTAGGACTAAGTTAAAATTTATCCTTTATATAATAAAGATACCCTTCTCGTAAGGTCATTTCTGAATTAATCTATAAGAGAGCTCATGCTAAAATTAATGGAAAGAGAGTTCATCTTGACAATAATAAAAAGGTTGAAGATAACTTAGGAAATTTAGGAATTATTTGTTTGGAAGATTTAGTTAATGAAATTGTTGGTTTAGGTCCCAACTTCGAAGCAGTACAAAAATTCTTATGGTAAAAAACAATTCTACAATTAAACAAGCATATTTAATTTTAAGTTTCTTAAATCTTTTATTCAAAAATTATAGGTCATTCAAATTAACTACTAAATCAGACGGATGGGATTAGAAAAAAATAGTTAAGCCTTATAATAATGGCGGTGAATGGGGTAATAGAGAAGAAAAGATTAATGATCTCGTATTAAGCATGATTTGATTAGGTTATAATTTAAAAACAAGAAAAACTCAAGTACTACCTATTTACCTACATACATACACACACAATAAAATATATAATCAAATAATTAATAAATTAAACACAGTAAATAACCAGAAAGTAATCATATCATATCAACTACTTTAAAATAAAAATCTTAATTGTAATAAATATATATTTTCTGGTTATGTATTCTTTTTCTAGTTTCCTTTTCATAATATGGCCTTTCATTTGAATTTTATTATCTTCATTCTATTAAATTTAAACATATTTATTAAAATTTGTACTCAAAAAATCATCAAACTAATTAAATAATGAAGTATATTAAAAAAAAATATAAATTTTATTAAATAACAAATTTTATAAATAATGATATATTTAAGCTCAAATTTCAAAAATTTTATGATAAAAAGCTTTATAATATCATTAAAAAACAAATAAAATGTTCTTTGTTCGTAAAGACTTTAATTTGAAACTTTTTAATTTTAATTTAATATGCAAATTTCAAAATACATATTAAAATTCATTCTATATGTGTCATTAAATAAATAATAAATATATCCAAAACTCATACTAATATTACTCAATAATTTTTTATAGAAAGTTAGTAGTCAATTATCATAATTATAAATCCTAAATTTAAAGTACAATAATGAAAAATAAAATCATTAATAATCAAATAAAATTAAAAATTTTATTTCTATTATGAATAGTAAAATCAAATTAAATAAAAATAAAGAAAAAACAATATTTTAAAATATAAAGAAGAAGTAAGAATTTTATGAATGTTGTAATATGAATTTATAAGCAATCTATATAATATATTTCAAAATCAAATTTTATATATGAATTAATTATATTATTTTATTTTTATTTATTTATCTGCATTTGTATATTTTCCTTAAAATAAAGGTTTTTATTTAATTAATTTTTCAGCAAAAATTATTTGCTGATGGTAATTTTCTTTCATTTTGCTAGTTAAGAAGCTATTTGAAAGATATTCCTGATGTAGGTGCATTAGAGGGCTTATATTGACTCTAGTTTTACTACTAGCTTAGGGATGACAAATTATTTGATGATTTAGATTATGAGTCTTTCGCTGTCATAGGAACATTATTATTGCTATTATTATTCTTTTTCTAGAGAATAACTAGGTGATTTTTACTTTGAGTATACTGTTTTTATTCATCTATAGAATTAGAATTAGAGTGATTGTTACTCACATAACTATTACTAGTTTTAGATTTTTAACCATTCGAAAGGAATGAATTAGATGTTTCCTAGCTATTATTTTTAGATATTTTATTTGGTATGCTGCTTATATTGTTTTAGAGATTCTGAGACCTAGAAAGTATTTATTGTATTTGAGTCGAAGAAGTTGAAGATGTAGAAAGATTATTATTACTACTTGAATGTCCATATCCATCAAGGCCATTGTTAGATAAAATGTTTTGACTGTTCTAACCATTTGAGAGTTTTGTTTAATTACTTCCCCTTGCTGTGTTATTGTTGTAATTTGAATTGTTATACAAATTAGATGATGGTTACTTAGAATAATTATCTCTATAATATGCATTTTCTTTTGAGTAATCTGTATTATTTGTATTATTAATCATTTATTATTAATATTATTTTGAAGATTTCTTTGCAATGAAATCGTTATGAGACTACTCAGTTTGAGATCTTTCTGCTTAATTATACAATGTGGTTTATGGAATTTAACGATTATTATTTTATACAGACTTTTGCTAGAGTATATTAATTTAATCTAAATTTGATAACTTATTTGGAGTAGTTCCAGTTGGTATTTATGACATATTAATATAAGACTAAGCTTTAGTGCTTCCGTTTTATTCTTACTAAAGCCTTTACTTTTACTGTAACTGCATCTATTAAGCGTATATTGCATTTTCGTCATAGACAGTACTATTGTTATTGTTACTGCTATTCTATACTTAGTTTTACTTAAGTATGTTCTTTCTATTTAATGCTTCTTCAAATGAAAGACCTCCTCCTTAAGTGATCATTGGAGAAGAAGATTGAATGCCTTTTGAGAAATTAGAGTTTTGGCTAGTTGGTTTAGATGGTTATTTATTCAGCATATTGCTTTCGAAAAGCTAATTATTCTTTGAATTTTTTAATTAGTTAATTGGATGATTACTATTAATTTTCCTTAATTACATCTCATTATTTATAATAGCTTACTTCTATTATTATTGATTGCTGCTTTCAACATTTCCTAAAACAGAATTTGTGATTTAGAATTATCTTTTAATATTATTAATAATATCTTCTTGCTAGTTAGATTGAGATTAAACAGGAATTTATCCATTTGTATATTGAGCAATATTACTATTATTATTGCTAGATTTTTAACAACTAGTTAAATAAATGTTAGAAGAAGTTGGCTGTGTTTGTACTCCGAGAGCATAATTTAATCCTCCATTATTCTATTAAGCTTATTCTTTTGTTTTTGGAGTAGCAGGTAATGGCATTTCAGAATAAATATTATTTAAAACAGGATTTAAATGAGTCAAAGGATTATTATTGCTGCTTTGGTTTACTAAATTATTTGTGCTTGTATACATAGGGTTATTGCTTGATTATAAAGCATTAAATCCTTTGTTCGGAAGTTTGTTTTGGATTTAGTTAGAGCTGGTACCATTAAGTAAATTTTAACTATTGTTATTTGAATCATAAACTCCTCCATTTACCAAATTAAGGTTTTTGATGTATGGAGATTAGCTAATTTATGGAAGTGCACTTGGAGCAAGATGTGGTGATGAGACTAGGTATTCTAAATTGTTTTTCATAGCCGTAGATGAAGGAGAAGGTAAATATTATTACTACTATTAAGGTAATAACTGATTATTTATATTTCTTTTTATAGGACTAATAGGTTCTTAGTTTACAAAGTTATTATTTTGAGGAATTTATATTAATTACATTGGGAGAGAAGTAGGAGTGAATGATCCATTTTTTTTAGATTTCACTAATTTCAAAGCTTTCTCACATCTCGTAATTTTTTAGGAGTAAGCATCTTATATAGCTTTTAGCTCCATCTCTAGCTCTTTTTTAAGTGTTTCTATCATGGTCTCAATTTATTACTCATTCATGTTCTTATATTCTGAAGGAATATCACTATCTTCACTGATAGATTACTTAGTAGTCTATTATTTTTGTTGTTAAGGAGTTGACGATTAAGGTACTTAAATATGGATATTGTCTGTTTAAATATTTATATTTAAAGGTTTTTTTGGGAAATTCTTGTTATTGTTTTCTTCCATTTTTTATGCAAATAAAACAAAATCTGGTACATTTTTTTACTAGATTTTTTTTTCTGAGTCTGTTACTGCAACACCAGAATAAGCTTAGTTTTTGATGTGCTCTATTTCATAGTCTTCCTTAATAATAACAGAGCTATTAACTTAGTCATCTTCTTGCTCAATTTAATTATATTAAGAAGTCATTTCTCTCTGCTCTGATTTATTGCCTATCGAATTATTTTTTTACAAATTTGAATTTGGTTTGTTTGAAAATGAAGAATCTTCTTTCTTATTTTGTGCCCAATTGATATTTTAAAAACCATCTTCTTTTTTAGAAAATTGTTTCATAAAATCAGAATTTTCTGGTTATTTTAAGTTGTCATCTTTTTATTCTTCATCTTCACCATCATCATTTTCTAATTTTTCTACCATAGTTCCTGTCTCATTTTCCCAAATAAAATTATTTTATTTATCATTATTATTGTTGATAAATTAATTTTATTTCTTGTAAAATTATTAGTGCTGATCAGGTTCATTATTAAATTGGTCATAGTTTTAATATTCAATAACTGTACCGCTATCATTAGCAATGTAATCCTAAAAATCATGAGAAGCCTCTGTCATTAATCTTTTATCAACTTATTTTTTCTCTTCTTTTTTCTATTCTTATTGCTGTTACTATGCAGGTTGTTACTTGTTTTTCTTTTCCCCTTGTTACTAAGTTTCTCCTTTCTACTTCTCAAGTAAATTTTTGCGAAAAACTCTAATACTCTCCATATTATCAGAAACTAGATTCATTAAAAAATGTTAAGGATTAACCCTAGTTGTGTTATTGACAATAAAAGGATCAAGGAGGAGTTCTTCTGAAGTTGGGCGTATGTCAGGATTAATAGTTAGACATCTGCTTACAAATCTATTAAACTCTTAACTCCATTTTGTAGGATCGCTTAAACCTTGTGGAGGCTTTTTAATAATTAAGATCATTGCCGAAACTGCTTAGAAATTGCTAAAGGGAGGATTTCCTTCAGCCATCTCTATAGCTGTGATCCCTAAGCTCCATATATCAGTTTTTTTATTGTATTTATTTTAAGTTAGTACCTTTTTTAAAATATTTTATTTAACATTATTAATCAAAGTATTTTAAAACTAAATTTAAAATGATTTTTAACATAGCCAGCGTATGTTAATTATTTTTATTAAATCGCTCTAAATAATCTTTAATTATTTGAAAATATATATTTGAATTAAAATGACAAACTGCTCTAATAAATTTTAAAATTCAATTTTTGAATTTTTATCATTCATAAATTAATTAAACAAGCAAGACCTTCAGTTTCCTTTTACATTTTTATTGCTTTATGCAAATCTTTTTAAAATTAAAGAAAGCTAACTGCTGTTAGGTACTGAATGAAGTCTATATTAATATAATAATTTTGATTACTTCAGGTGACATCCAGTAAGGAGTGCCAATGAAAGATTCTATGTATCCCATAGTATTAAAGAGCTAAGCAGATACACCAAAATCAGCGAGTTTGCATGCACCATCTTTGTTGATGAGGATATTTCCAGCTTTAATATCTCTGTGTATTTTTTTTGAGTTATGAAGATACTTTAATCCAAGGAGTACACCCTTAAGTATGCAAGCAATCTAAACTTCACTAAGTGTTCTCTAGGTTGCCTTCATTAAATCATTAACACTACCAATATCACAGTATTCCATAATAATCCATAACTATTCGTTATATAAATAACTACCATAGTAATGGACAATATAATCGCTCTGGCAATCCTATAAAATACTAATCTCTTTCTTCAAGTTATCAAAATCTCCATTTCCAGTATTAACTACTTTAACTGCATAATATTTATTGTTTTATAAATTCAATGCTTTAAAGACTTTTCCATATGAGCCTTGACCTTATTAAGAATAAAAAGTTATTGAACAAAATAAAATAAAAATCATAAATTTAATTCAATTAAAATATTTTTAGTACCTAATATTTCTACTAAACTGAATATCTACTCAGGATTTTCTGTAGTACATATTATACTATCACTTCCTATTTCGTTCATATTCATTTCTTCAGCTATTATTATTAATTCAGATCTATTTCTTTGAAAGGATCAGATTTATAGTTTTGAATAAGAGTTGAATAAAAATCTAAAACAAGATAAGTATTTATAAATATCTTCTTGATAAAATTCTAAAGCTTTTAAAAATATTCGAGAGATCTGTGTATTCAGTCTTTCTGCTTATTAATTTACAAATTTCTTTATTTTTTGTATGTTAATTAAATTTATATAAAATAAATGATTTATACATGCAAGTATTCTTTTCCTTAATATTATTCAATTTATTTTTTAGAGTGAATGAATACTTTTTGAATTATTTTGAAAATTAAAAGTAATTAGCGTTGATGCGCTAGCTATCAAGTGATATTTCTTTAATAAATTATATTTAAATATATTTTTAAACGAATATTGACACAAAATCTAACACTCCTTGTTTTTCTTATATTTTGAATTCCTTAAATCAATTTAATATAAAAGTTAAACAAATATTTTAACTTTAATCTAAATTTCAAATTATCAAAATCTTTGTATTTGAAATTCTTATTTTCACACAATTCTTTAATTTAGTTTATCTATATTCTTAAAACTAAAGATATATATATTACAAATTTTATTATTTGCTATTTATTTTTTATCAAAAATTTATGAACAATCAATCATTTTTATTCTATTTAAAATTTTAAAATTAAATATCAACTTTAAGATATTTTTGTTGTTGAAATTTATATAGGATATTGGTTTTGGGTTTAGATAAATATTTAAAATTTAAATATTAACATTATACTTTATTTATTTTCAATGATAAAATATTAATTTTGTGATTAAATATAAAATTTAACTTACTTATTTTAACCTTTATTTTTTCTAATAAATTTTTTAAATTCTTCCTCTCAGTATATTTAGAATTTAATATTGTTAAATTATTTCTATCTGTTTTATAATAAATTTTATTTGCTTGAGATTCAATTTTATTTAATCATTTTATTATGGTTATTTCTTGATGAATTTTAAAAGCAAAAATTATTTTACTTTTTAATTTAATATTTTTTATTTTAAAATATTAATTATATTTCTTTGATATTTTTGATATAATTTTTTTTTTTTCTATTTAGTTGTATAAGCGAATAATTAAACTATATTACTTGCACAATTTTATATTTGTTTTTCAAAAAAATATTATATGTACTCATATATTTATTTTGAGATGTTTTTTGGATTACCTTTTTGTTATTATTTTTTAATTTATTTACAATTTCTATGGGCTTTTATAATAAGCTTTTATTAGTTTTTTAGAATAAATTTACGATTTTAGGGCAAATATTTCAATAAATTTGTCTTTTTCAGATTCACCTGAAAGTTATTTCTTGTAGTAATCAAAATAAATATGTAGATTAGTATAAAAAATGATAAAATATTGTTTCTAATATATTTTTACATACAGATTAGTAAATAACTCAAAAATAAACCTAATCTTAATTTTGCGTATTATTTTCCTTTCTATGATGATTGAGAAGATTTTAATTTTACATTTTTTGTGTTTTTGATTAATTGATATCTTACTTAATAAATATTTATTCATTAAAAAAGAGTAAAAAAATTCAAGATTAAATAGTTATGGATAAAATACAAAATAAATTATGCTTAGCATTCTAGAAGTACAATCGTTTAGATTAATAGGGTATTTTAAGAAAATATTTTTTTGTTTTAAAATTAGGATTACAACAAATGTTTTCTTCAGAGAAATAAAAGTTATTGGGCAGGAAAATATTCCACAAGTAAATATATTATATGAAAATAAACTTTAAACTAACTTAAATCCTTTTTTATTTAGGATGCTCCAGTAATTATATGCGGTAATCACAGTAATCAATTTATTGATGCTCTAGTAATTCTTTTAATGAAATATATATAGTAGTAGAGTTAATTTTTGTTATATAAATTAATAATATCAAAAATAGTTGATGGGAGCTACAGCAGGAAGAAAAGTTAACTTTATCATGGCAGCAGCAGTAAATTTTATATTAAAATCGATATATATATTAAAAAACTGTTTAAATAGAGTATGAGAAGACCTATTCATGGAAGTATTGGCAAGTTTTTAGGTTGTATTCCTGTGGAAAGACCTCGTGATTTAGCGAAACCAGGAAAAGGAACAATAATTTCAGCTAAAAGTGGTGTTTTGATAGTATTTAAGCAAAATATGATGATTTTTTGTTAATATTATATTATTAAAAAGGGGAAAGACACTGAATTTAAAACACAATGCCACAAAAATACTTAGATTGTTGTCGGATTTGTATGTTTTTTATAATTTATCCTACTAAATAAAATTAAACCTTTTTTTAAATAAATAAAATAAATTGATTAATAGATCAAAGACTAATTAAGAGTAACAGAAATTATTAGTGATACCGAATTACACTATACAACAGATATTGATGAAGGAGATCATTCAAACTTAAATGAAAAGTATAGAATATGCCCTGATATTGATTAGTCAGATTTGTTTGGAGCAGTATGGAAATCTCTAAATAAAAAACAATGTATTGGCATATTTCCAGAAGTAAATAACATTTAACTATTTATTGTGACATATAAAAAATATTCTAAATAGAACTAAAAACTAGAACTTAACATTTATTATCTAAATTTATATATTTTTCTACTTGAATAGGGAATAAGTCATGATAGTCCTGATTTCATGCCTCTGAAAGCTGGTGTTTGCATTATGGCTCTAGGTGCTATGTAGAAATTTAGATAAAAAGTATACATTGTACCTTGTGGATTAAATTATTTTAAGGGTCATCGTTTTAGATCTAAAGTGACTATTTAATATGGGTAAGCATTTGAAATCCCATTTGAATTAGCAGATCTTTACAAGAATAATAAAAGAGAAGCAATCACTACCTTACTTTTAGAAATTCAAAACAGACTTAGATCTGTAGTGTATACAGCTTCAAGTAGTACTGAACTTTAGGCAATTATTACTGCTAAGCATCTATATATGTAATCCTTTTACAAAAAGCTATCTACATAAGAAGAGTGCTAATTAATTAATAGGTAAATAATAAAAAATTTATTTTAAAACTTAAACTTATATTCATAATTTATTTTACAGAATTAATGAAACTTACAGATCTTTACAAACACATCCTGATATGATAAAATTAATAAATTAGCTTAAAGATTACAATTCTGTTATGGCTAGATTAAAACTAACCGACCAAGAAACAGTGGCTGATTACCAAGATGGTCTTTTGAAATCATTTCTAGCTATCATCTACTCAATTCTTCACATACTTATTTCCTCTTTATTAGTAAATAAAAAAAAATTATATTAATTGAAGTATTTATTTATATTATTTATAGGCTTTTCCTGGTTTAATATTAAATGGGCCTATTGGTCTGGTTTTGAGGTATTTAGCAGAGTCCGCAAGAAAAAAAGAAGCAATAGGATGGCCTTCTCCATGTTTAGATATTGTGGCAAGCTATAAAGTATCATTTGGTCTAGTTATAGTACCTGTGACGTTTTGGCTCTATTACTTGGTTTTCTTTTTCTTTTTAAAAAACTTTATCTTTTCAGCTGATTAAATATAATTAATATATTCTATTGAGATCATTTTTATTGTGCTTTATCCCGTTTATGCTTATTGTAATGATTTTGATTGAATCATTTGATTTTAAATAATTAAAACTTTTATTAATCTAGTAATGTTAAGGCTATTTGATGATATCAAAAAACATCTTAAAGCAATTAGAGCCAGAGTAGTTTTCCTCCATAAAAATGTTGAACTTGCTTAGTTAGAAAAAGACATCTAGAATAAAGTAATTTTTTTATTTAAAAGCTAGTATTAAAATCAATTGTAAATAGATAAAAGATATGGTTAATGTTTATTGCAAAGCACATGAAGAAAATTATGATGAAAATAAAATTATTACAGAAGACCATCAAAATGGTGATGTAGATTAGTCTAAGTAGTTATTAGGTCGTAAAGAAAAATTCATTTTTAGACTTTAAAAAATTAAATAAGTTTTCAGTTAACCAATTAAAAAGTAAAATTTTATAAAATTTAGAAAAATATTTTAAAGACTTTATCAAATAAAAAATAGAATTGCTCATAAATTACATTCAAAAATTTATTCTGAATCTACTATGTAAGATATTTACAGATATCTTGATGTAAATAAAAGTTAAAATAGTAGCTCCGAACATGAAACTGATGATTGAAACAATATTTAATTATTGTTATAATGCTAAAATTATATATTTAATATTAAACTTACATAGATAGATCTTTAATAAATACTAAATATTCTATCTAATTTTTTCAAATATTTTAAATTATGATTAATATTAAAAAACATTTCCTCTAAAGTTTTTAGAATTTATTCCTTTTTTTTAATGACTTTAAAATTTATTAAAATAAATCAAAAGTTTTTTTCAAATTTAAAATACTTTACTGTAAAATCTCCTATAAAATATTTATATGTTTTTGTGACGATTTTATTAAATAAATTACTAATATATAATTTTTATTTGTAAGTGTATGATATTTTAGCTTATAACAAACAAGATTTTAAAGTATTTAAAAACATCTACAAAATATAAAACTTTAAAAAATAATATTTTCACTTATTAACTTACACTTCAATATCTTAATCATAAATTATATCTTATGAATTTTAAATATTGATTAAATGACAAGTGTTATAATTTAAATCTAACTTTGTATCAGTTAATTGTTATACAGATATTATTTTATTAGATTAATTATCAAGATCTCTTTTGCCAGCATTATTATTTTTTTTTTCTTTTTAAATAAAATATAATATTAAAAAATAATAATAAATTTAAGTATTTACCTTCGATTATCTAAATTGAAATTTATTATCCTTTTTAACTCTCTTAATCATCTTTAATTTTATGTTATAAACTATATATATCTTCCTCTATAATAGTATCCTGTTATCTTTAATCTTTTTTATGATTCTATTAACTAAAATTGTTATCTTTAAGTAAATTTATTTTAGAATCAAACACGTACTAATTTCTTTAAGTGCTATTTTCTGTATAATGAGGAGATCTTAAATTAAACTCATTTTATTCGTTCAAATTTTCACTTTTCTCATCTTATTATGTATACTATATTTCATCAGCTTCTTCAATATATAATTATTTTTTATTATTAGATTTATAATAAGCATTTTAATTCTATTAGAAGTTGATATCTGATAAAGTTTTTTTAGGTTATATTCCCATTAAAAACTTATTAGAATCAACATAATATTAGTCTGCATTGGATTTCTCATCTTAATTTTCTTGATATATTAAAATAATTTTTTTTAATTAAAAACAAGGATAAGCTAAAAATATTTACAAGAATATATAGATTCTATTTAATTGTTGAAATGAATTAAATTATCGCCATATTCATCTTTCTTAATTTATGGTGAAAATTATTTTTAATCTTATTCTAATTACACTTAATTCTATAATAATTCATTCTACATATTTTTTTCTATTTTTATTTAAAAAGATATTATTTACTATTTACTGTAAAATTAAAAAAAATATTTACATAATTAAAGGCTTTCTGTTTAATTAAAAATAGTTTTGCTATTTCCATAAATAGGTTTTATTTATCCTTATTTATCTTATGTATGTTTATACAATGGTGAAGGATGATTATTTTATGAAGCTTGTATTTCTTTGCTGAAAATCTATTTCAATTCGATCTATTTTTCGTTATCCTCTTAATTCTTTTCAACTTAATTTAGAGTAGCATTACTTTCATTTATATCACCTTAGACATTCTTTAAATATTCATCTAAAAAAATTAATAATTTTAAATATAGGATTATATAAAATTAATTTTATTACCTATATTTTTCTGTAGATATGCTAAATAAATTTATTTTTTTTAACTTGGTTTTAATGCTAAGAATCTTAAAAATGCTTATTAAAATTTCTTCTTTGTTTCAGGTTTTATTTTTCCGTGTTATTTCTTTTCATTGTTAATGAATTTTTTGAAATAATTGAACTTCTTGGATAAAGCAGTTAAAATTTTTTCTTTAACTTCTAACATTTAGCTTTTGTAAGAATTTATAATCTTGCTCAGTATTTTAATGATAAACCATACATTTATTATTACTATTAAACCTAATGAAGTATAAACAAAGTACGGATACTAATTGTTGTACATAAACAAACCTAAAAGGACAGTAACAGCACATACGTTAGTAGAGTTTACATCTATTTCATTGACATCAGATTCCTGATATGGGTGAATAATAAGTGACAAAATACCATAAGCAGAAATGACAATAAAAACAAGAACAGCCTTTGTTACAACACTTTGAGAATAAAAATTGAGAGAAAGAATAATCGCTAATTTTTCTATCATCTTAACAAACTCCCAATAAAAGGCACTTTCTTAGTATTCTTTATATAAAAATCCATACTTAAGTTTAATATCAATTGACTCTAAATTATTTTTGTTTTTTCTTAGTACTAAAAATAGAAATGCTGGTATTATAATAACCCATGATATGAGCATAGGCAAAACTATTGTAAATGAATAGTAATAATGCTCATGTGTATAGCAGACAAAAGAAACATTTGATAAAATATAATTTGTGTCTCCAATTTATCTGCAAGAGAGCAAAGCGATAGTCTGAGCAACTAAATCTGGCTAAACATAAATGATGAGGAAAATTATAGCTGTTGTTAATATATACCATGGGAATTAATTTTTACTTTTTTCTTTTCTGTGCTTTAAATATTTGATTAAGTAATATATTATCATGCATAAAACAAAGAGTATCATATAAATAACTGGTAGAGTAAGTGAAAAAAGCAATCTAACATAGATTATTGGCATCTCTAAATTAAATTATTAAAGTGCACAGTCAAGTGAGTTCATAGTCTACTTAAGCGGTTAACCTAAAGATTGAGGAAATTCGAATATACCTTGTTGAAATTTTTTTTTTCATAAATATTTTGTTAATAATGAATAAATTAATTACCTGAAGGAATAGAGAGATTAAAAGTTGCTATTGATCCGACAATTTAAACATAATTAGTAAGCATCTTAATAAAAATTCCAGATTTATCTTCATTTTTATTAAATTCCATTTTAAGTTTATTTGATGTGCTTCTCTATTTTACCATACTCTTAATTCCTTATATATTACTAAAGTTCATAGTTTTAAATTATGCTGATGACTACCTCCTTTAATTAACAGTTGTTTTTCTAGATAAATTTTTTTAAATAGTATATATTGCAATTTTTTCTCTCAACACATCAACATCTCCTTTAATTGCTAAACACATTGAAATTAAAGTCCAAATCGTCATTAAAACCACAATCCATACATTGTTTTTTATTTGATCACATCTGGTACATGAAAACTTTGCTGATTTAGCATAAGAATGTGTCCAATACTATCCATATATCTAATTAAATAAAATTAAATATATTAAAAAAAAATTATAATAAATTTTACATCACACTCTTCGCAAAGTGCTCCAATATGTCCTTCATAACAAATATTATCTCCAAAAGATCCTCCCTTGCAATTATCGGGAAGATTATTACAGGAAAGTACTAAATCACTATCATTACTTTTACGCCAATAACCAGCATTTGTTACAATATTTGATCCACCTAAACATGTGGCACCCTTAGGACACTCTTAGCAGTTTTATACTTTAAAAGAGTATTAATTCTCAGGACATATTTAGCATTAAGTTACTTAATCTAATTATGTTATTTATTCACCAGTACCACATGATCTAAAGTTTATTGTTAAATTAAATTGATAATTTTATACAAATTTATTATCTTTTGGATCTACTGAGTAAATCTAGTCAGAAGTAAATTATAGGTTTACAGACGTTTAAGGAATTCCGGATAAACTAATGTTACTGAATTTAAAAGCTTTTAGTTTTGGATCATATTTCGCATAGGTATCTTCACCTATAACATAGGAATTTAATTTTTTAATTGTTTTATCAAACTGGACATTAACTTAATAAGTATTTTGTTAATCTTATGTAATTGGGAAAAAAATTTCATCATGATCATTTACTAAAATAAATTCGATATCAGTTATATTTGCACCACTCCTAAAATCATTAACAGAGATTATTTAATTATTAATAATAGCATTATTTGTTTATATAAACTTGTCTAAATTCATTATTTTTAGTTTTGTAGGATAAGAAACACTATTATCTCCAGAAATACTTGCTTTATTAGCAGAAATTATATTATTTTAGCTTTAATCTATTGATATATTTTATTAGAAAACACCAGCACCAACAGCTGCTTTGTTATATATTATTTTTGAATCAGTGATTTTAACATTTTAGTTTATAAGATTTGTAGTTTATGAATTAACATAAATTGCACCTCCTCTTGCTTAACAACTATTATCTGAGAATTTACTTTGAGATATTGTAAGCTAAAATTGCTATAAAATAAATAATTTAAAAATATAAAGATAGAAATGTGTTATTTACATCATCTTGTTAGGCATTTAGATAAATAGCCCCACCATCATTTTAAGATTAACAACTAATAAACTAAGAATTAAAAATGATATTAGTTTAATTTAATCCTTAAATATATATTGCTCCTCCAAAGTTAGACTATTTTTATATTAGTAATATATAAAAATAATTTGAAATAATTTAGAAAATTTTTACAGAAACATTTTGGAATGTGGTTTCCTAGATATTCAATTTACCCTATTAAATTTAGAGCGCTCCTCCATTACAATTTTAGCTACAGGTAACATTCTAAAAAAGACTGTTTTAGCTTAAATTTACACTAGACTATATAGCAGATATCAATGTAGCTGCATTTTAACTTGGAATCTAATATTCTTATGATTGAATAAGCCTTGAATTTTGAGTTAATTAATTTATATTTTTAAATTTAACAGATATTAATTATATTTAACTCTAAACTAATTATAAAGTACTAGTGACATAGGCTAAATTTTCTATATTTGTATTTTGAATTGTTATATTAGAAGTGTGTGAATTGATTAATAATGGATAAGTGGTTTATAATGAATTCTTTTATAAGTTAGAAATATTACAGCTCTAAATTAACAATATAGAATTTTATAAGTTGGAAAGAATCGCTGGTTACTGATTGCTACTTTAAAAGGAATACTAATAATAAGGTTGAGAGTCTGATTCAAAGACTTCTGATAATA